ATTATGCATGAGGATTTGTAAATATATGTGTTTGTGTGTGTGTATTTGTGTGTGTGTGTGTGTTTGTGTGTGTGTGTGTGTGTGTGTGTGTGTGAGTGTGTGTGTGTGTGTGTGTGTGTGTGTAAAAAGTGTGTGTGTGTTGTGTATAAGTGTGAGTGTGTGTGTGTGTTTGTGTGTGTGTTTGTGTGTGTGTCTGTGTTTGTTTGTGTGTGTGTGTGTCTGTATATACATAATAAAACAAAGGAACAATTTTTTCATTCATTTCACAGAAAGAGACTTAAAGAGATGGAATTTATAATTAGAACTGCAAAATCTGTACGATCTTTCTACATCCACACACGTACTACAAGCGGATGAGAGTGTAAGGTGAAATAAAATGAAAAGCAAAACGAACGAAGAGAAACGGAGATTAAGTTTGAAGCAGAATTTTAATTCCTTTTACTAAATTTTCGAAGTTAACTTACCTTTTTCTTATTTTTCTCTCTCTATGTCTATGTTCCGCTCTTCTCTCTGTGGAGGTTTGTAGCTTTTAGATGTTCTTGTGCTTATTATGTTATTTATTTGTATTTCAGATTATATTATGTTTTTTTTTTTTCTTGTTATTTACTTAGACCTTCAATATTTCGTCTTTAGCTATCACTATGCATTACCATTCTTCTTAGCTGTTACATTTCCTTTCACGTTTTTTATCTTTTATTATCTTATTACTTAATATTTTACATGATTTTCTTTTATTTCCTTGTTTATTTTTTTATCGATCTCATTGTACTAAAAAACATCTCTATCCTATTCAGTAAACTTATATTTATCTACTTCTCCACACACACACTTTTATTGTTTTTTCTCCGTGAGGTGGGAGAGTCTGCCGGAAGAAGGGAGGAACAGGGTGGGAGGAGAGGGGGAAGAGGGAGAAGAGGGTGGGGAGAGGGGAAGAGGGGGGAATAGGGAAAGAGGTGAGGAGGTATTGGAACACGCAGTACACATCCGGCTTCCTCCTTTCTTTCTTGGTGTGGTTGCTTTTACTATAACGGAAATGGGTTTAAATTCTGTTGTTGAGATCCTGAAAATAAATTCTCGGATAATACGCTATAGTTCATTTGTTTTTCATTGTTCCTTGGGATTGTTATGTTTCTTGTGGGTTTGGATTTCCTGGCGCTTTCCTGTATCTTATCTAAAACCGTGACCATGCATATCTTGCTCATATACGTTTCTATATATATATATCTATATGTAAGCAATTATATCGTTATATATGTATTTTTTTAGTTTTTGAATGTTTTCTTTCGAGAACCTTTTTTTATCCTCTCTTCTTTGTGTTTACTTATATGTTCATTCACTTAAATATATATTATCTATAGTAACCTCTATCTGTACAATATTCTATTTCCTGTCCTTTCCTGTAGTTGGGCCCCTGAAATTTCGATCCTTCCATGCAGTTGGTCACTTGAAATCCCGATTTTTCTCTGTATGTTCTCCTGTTCCTATCCCATCCTCTGTAATTCGTTCCGTCCTATTTTCTCTCCTGTAATTCACTTGGTTTATATAGTCTCCTCTGATCACCCATTCGTTTTTTCTTTTGCCATCCCCTTTGTGTCCCTATTCTCCAATACTCGGGTTGTTCTCTTGTGGTTTCTCCATGGAGATTTCGGGGTGAGGAGGGGGGGGAACCGGGGCTGGGACGCGGATCTCGTGGCGGGCTCGGGTGCTCTCGAGGCCGGGGGTGAGGGGGGAAATCGTTGGTCGCCGCTTTTGACCGCACTTCACCGCCACCGCCCAGTTCCCGTGTGCTTCTTACGCAGCTGAAATCCCTTGAACGACGTCGACGACTATCCGCTTGTTTCGGACGGTGCATTACAGCCGCGCGACAATAAAAGTAATATAAACTTTTTTGTTTTGTTTAGGACTTTGGTGGCAGCTACCAGGCGAGGGAGGTAATGGTGTAGTGGCACGGCCCCACCACTGTCTCGTCATGCCTTTGGCAAACCCCGTGCCCCGCGGGGAATCGAGCCTCCGAGGCGGACGAGCGAACGGGCAAACTACCGTCTCGGTCCGTCTTCCAGATGTTCGCTATGCCCACGTTCACCTGGTGAGGAGGTTCGGTAAGGTAGACAGGCCAGGGACGCGGAGAGGACACGAACTGTGGAGAGCTGTTTTTTCTCCCCACTCGTCGTTGCTTACCGCCCCACAGGTTACGTACCTTGACCCCCTTATGTGCTCACGACTTGACCTCCGTCGCGCCCGTGCTAACATTTCGTGAAGTTCAGTGTTAATTATCATATCGTCACGCACCACTTAGACCACCCACTGTTGGTACAAGCTTCCTCTAATAACATCTTGTGTCTCGCCTTTTTTCAGATATCAACAAAGATTCAGCTCCCAGAACAGACCGGAAAGCCGCATGAACAACCACAGCAGGAATGAACGAGGAACGTTGTGTATAATCCATTCCCTACCCCACTTCCGGCGGATACTCCCCACCTCAAGAAAAAAAAAAAGAAAAAAAAAGAAAAATAGAGAATAGCAAAACAACGGCAGCAGGAAGAACAAGGAGACAGCACACAGGTAGCCCCCCGCCCCCCGTCTGCCACCCCTTTTCCGTTGACTCTTCCGGTTTCATGGAGAGAATAATAAGGTTGTTTTTTTTTTTAGACTATGTAAAAAAATATTATAAATACAGAAAGATTAATTTTAGTGCAATGAGGAATCTTAGAGAAAATAACAACAAAAAAATAATCATAAAAACATATGTATAGAATATTAGTATGGAAAATAAATATAGTAAAAGGAAAAATAATTCTAGAATAAGAAATAATTTTTTTGAAATATCAAAAAGAAAAATAATACAGTAGACTAAATAGAGATTAGGGGAAAAATAAATTATGTGGAAAATAAAGATAGAAAGAGAAAAAAAAAAAAAAGATAACCATCAAGATCTCACATTGAGGAAGATATTGGATAAACGTTAGAGAGAAAGGAGTAGGATAATAGATGATGAAAAAGGAATACACTAACACGACAAGGAATTTGCAAGAAACAGTGGGTAAGAATTAAATAAGGAAGGGCAGGAACCTAGTATAGGGCTGGCACAGAAACATCTACATACTAGTGTGGAATGTACTAATTACCGAGAGGGCGTGGCACTCCAGTTGGCACTCTTCCTGCGACACTGCGCGTGATTCCTATGGTTTACCCTACACCCGTTTTCTTTTGCCTTTGTTATGAATTTGCATTAATGTTTTTAATTATTGGTTTTACGGGCTCCACTTTTAGTTCAGTATTTTTTTTTTTAACCCAGTTATGACCACTGAATTAATCTATATTTCTTGTGATGTGACGTCGCATTTTTTTTTTTTTTTTAATCTTTATTTCACAGTTTACGTCTTTTACTTGCTCTGGGATATACTTTAAGTTTCTATTTTCTTTATTCATATACATTTTAGAGCGTCTGGAGTCTTGATTTGATGGTTTATAATTTAGTCGAGGTTTATCACTCCCATGACGTATTCCTTTTTTTTAGCAAGTGTATTCTTATTTTTCTTAATTTATTTTACTGGTTTGATACAAGACCTTATTTTATTATTTTAATTACTTTTCATGTTTTATAGAATTTCTCAGTTTTGATTTTTACTGCTTTGTTATTTAAAGGTTTTACAGATTACTCGTAATCTTTCTCATTTCTGTATTTGGTAAGCTTTTAACATAAATTTTATTCATAACTTTGTTTTATGAATCATTTTATCATCATTGTGTGTTTTATCTGTATTTATTATCATATATGTATAAAAATGTTTCGTCGTTCCGTGACGTCACGGATCCTGGAGCCTCCAGGAGTCCAGAAACAAAAAAACAGTATCAACTGGAACTTTATCGTGTAACATCCCTTTCTCTGCAGCAGCAAAATCCAAGGTTGTACTGGCTCTACTATGTTACTTGCCTAGGTATTATTGTAGCTGGACGAGCAATGTATATAAGCAGCGATAAAGGCAGATAAGACATAAATACCAACAGAAGCTAAAGTGACAGTATTTGCACTAGTGATGCTCATTTACCTTTTAAGGGGACCGTCTAGGTTTTCTTTTTTTCAAGAAAAAAGGAAAAAGTACAAAAAAAATCTTACATTGACCACTTTAACAAGAAGCACAGGCAAAAATTGCAAAAAAACGCTCTCGAACAAGTTGTAGATATTTTATTTTTCTGCAAAACGAGCCATGATAAGTTAATTTTGGACATAAATTGCGCCCGTGAGGATTTGCCCCCCCCCCCCTAGAGGTGGTGTACCGAGATATCGGCATTTTTCGTTTTCTTCATCAAACAAAACAAGTATAAGATTGTCTTCCTACACCATAATCCTCTATCATCTACCTGCATTCCGAAGTCATCCGGACATTGCCAGCACGTAACGGTTTCTCAAAATCTTACATATTGTAAACTGGTGGCAGTGATCCGAAGGGTGATTGAACATGATTGAACGTAAAAAGTATAGCTATAACAGAAACATTTCAAAAATATAAAATAACATCATCAAGAGAGACATAGGAATATGGACTTAGCAAAAAATAATATATTATTACACATGCGCATCTCCATTTTGTGTCAGTACTTCACACGTGTATGGTATGCACGGAAACATTCAGGCATACATAGCGCAATCCCACACTCAGCGCATTGCCAGTGCGTCATTTGACGCTTCTTCTCACGCAGTTGTGTGTTAGCACATACATGACATCTCCGTGGTCTTGATTAGTGGATGTTGCTTCAACAGGAAGTGGGAAGTGGCATTCAGTCAGAGCAAGGGCATTTGTTCGTGGATGAGATGCTTGGGGTCTTAGTACTTGCTGCTGTCGGTACCTAGCAATCTTCTGACGCAACATGGAGTGGCTAAATTCAAGAAAGGAGAACCTATTAGCTATTTTCACTAAGTATATGTGATAGAAATTTCGTCTTGCCATGTCCACAAAATGAAAAAAAAATGTTTTTTTATATACCATTTGATAGATTTTCTAAGGCATTCTACACAAGCTCAGTAGCATATCAGCCTTGTCAACGATACGCATTTTCTGTGTATATTCAACTACTGCCTCTGGCTTCATTATTGGCTCTCCCGTGGTATAATCACTCTTTTCAGTTTGAATGATCTTGTTCTCGTGAACTGATGTTAGCATGTGGACCATTCGCTTGGCAGACCACTTGAAGCACATGAAGTTGTTCTTGTGGCATGCACTAATTTCCCCGCGGTTGACTGCAGGCAAACAAGGCATCCCTTTTCCATTCGGTCGAAGTGTGCCACGAGCTCCTGTGTTGTTTTGCTGGAGGTACTCAAACAAAGTTGGACTGGCGTAGTAACCATCAGAAAAAAGATTATGTCCTTTCCCCAAGTATGGTCCTATCAGTCCACTGACTACCGAGCCAGCAAAACCAAATTTTGGGTCAACCTGAACCTCCGTCTGTGCCCCAGTGTACAAAATAAAATCCAAGATGAAGCCTTTCGCAACATCACAAATTGTAAATAACGCTTTCTCTACACAAAAACAAGCCTATCTCTACATAACACCAGACTTTCATGAATGCACAAATCCTGGAAGAGCTTAAATTTAGTTGCAAACTTGTGCCTGATGTCATTTATTACCCTTTCTATCATTGAGAATCTGTACTGAGGGTCATTTTCATTATCACTGAAGTGGAGGTGGCGCAAAATGAGTAAAAATCTATCCCTACTCATCATTGTTCTAAATACTGGTGTTGATATGATAAAGTCTGTAGACCAGTAGTCATTTATTGTGTGTGTTTTCCATGAGCCATGGTCATGCACAAGCAGAGGAATATGAGCATTTCATTTCTGTTAGTTGCATTCCACTGATGCATCCTAGAATTTGGAGGGTATATTTCCTTTTGCATCAGATATTGATGGTATGCATTGGTCTGTTGCGCAATTTCGTCGATGAGTTCATTATAAAAAAAATCGAGAAAAAAGTCGAGTTCCTCTGAGTCTTCCGTCACGGAGCAAGCAGTGATGATCCAACAAGGAAAGAAATGATGGCCTTGAATGAATTGAAAACGAACCAAAACATAGGAATAAAAAGTGGATAAAGACGGAGCATTAGCAGTATTAAAATAGAAAGTTATAGAGCCATAGGCCAAGCACATTTGAGCAACAAGGAGACATAAACATTCACCCAATTCACAGGAAGAGTACACTGGGTGCAGGCAAAGGGCAAGTAGCTAATAAATATATTTTATTGCTTAGACTCTCCAACAGGGAAGAGATCCACTCACAGCATCACCACAATGGTAGCATTCTCATTGGTATGTGCTCCCGAAAACGCATAAAAAATTTCCAAATTCTAGATTCTCAGATACTTAGAGTACTAACCCCCTTCTTATCACCTTATTAGAGCTACTCCCAGAGAGACTACAGGACCTCACAACACACACACACACATATACATATATATATATATATTATATATATATATATATATATATATATATTATATATATATATATATATATATATATGTATATATATATATATATATATATATATATATATATATATATATATATATATATATATATATATATATATTATATATTATATATATATAAATATATTGTGTGTGTTTGTGTGTGTGCGCATATACATTATTTGACGCATGTAAATCTAATTTAATGCATTACAGTTTTTAAAACATCATTTTAGTTATAGACATTTAAAACTAACCCCAAATAAATATGAAAGAACTGTTTCACGGATTAGCTCCGGCGGCCGCGACCCGTTGGCGGAGCGTGCTGAGCCTTGTTGCCAGCGGCGCGCGGACGGAAGAATTATGCTCCGTGACAGCGCTCCATGACGCTCGTTGCAGCGGAGCGAATTCTTTGAGATTTCTCGAACTGTCATTGTATTATGTGATATTTGTTTGCATTCTAGCGTATTTCATATATATATATATATATATATATATATTATATATATAATATATATATATATATATATATATATATATATATATATATATATATATATATATATATATATTATTATACATAAGTATGTGTGTGTGTTCTAACAACATAATACGATTGCCCTGATTTATTAACGTTCTAGCTTTATCTTTATTCCAATATATATGGTTTCCATTTATATTGTTCCTGAAAATTTTGTTGGTCCATCATTATTTAGCGAGGTTTTATGCAGTTCAAACGTCATAGACTTCCTATCGCAGTCCGTAACGCAAATGCCGTACAGAAAATCAAAATACTGTTAGAAATCATTACAGTATCGGAAACTCGCCTGCTGTGACGTCATCAAAGTTTCCCGCCATTTTTCCCTGGATTCAAATTTGTTGCCGCGTCCGTTAAAACAGACGCACCTTTGTTAGAGACTATTCCTGGCAAGCGTGTATATGTGTATTACTGTATATTGTTGTTCACTGCGCACCATTCGCTTCCTCTCCAGGGATTACATGGAGCGAAGACTCTAAAGGAAAAAAATAGGGGGGATAAAAAAAAAAAAAAAAAAAGAAAAGAATAAAGGGAAGGTAGAGTAAAGCTTAAAAAAAGAATAAAAAAGTAAAAAAGAAAAAAAAAGTAGGAAGGGGGAAGGGAAAGTAGAATAAAAATTACAGGTTGAGATGGATAAAAATAGAATGGAGACTACGTTAGGAAAAATAGAACAGTTAGACAATAGTGTAGTACGAAAGGGAATTCGGTAGATACAGTTACAAAATATGAAAATATGAAAATAATTAAGAAGTATAAGGTAATGTGAATGAGACAGAAAGGATAATAGTAAAAAAGGACAATTTTCTTATAAGAATAAAGCCGTATGAATGAAGATGGAAATGAAAATCGAGTCAAATATACAAAGGTATAGTGAACATTAGTAAAAGATGGTTAACTACATGAGGTTAAAATGAATTTGCATATTAATTTTACATATACACATACTGGTTTTACATTGTATATAGACATTAATACAGCAAAGGCCCCAAATATAACCAAAGAAAAAATATAAGTCGGATCGTCAAGAGAGAAAATAATATTTAGAAACATTAAACGAATGAGGAGAAAGAGGAATCAAATAAAGTAGAAAGAGAGGATATTAATGTCTTTTTTTTAA